AAGATCTTGAAAGGAGTAAACACTAGAAAAATACATACGCCTATACCACATTTAGGCCCGGCATGGCCAGGTGGTTAGGGCGCTTGACTCGTAATCTGAGGGTCGCGGGTTCGAATCCCCGTCACACCAAACATACCAACCTCTGCCTTTGCATTGTCCCAAGTCCAGGATGAGAAAGGAAGAAAGGCTAGCAACTCCACCCAGTAAAAACCAACCTGGTACAAGTAACTGCAACAACACCTTCTGTTGACGAGGTGTTGTTGCGGCCCTATGTTCCACTGGGAGTTTACAGGAATAAAAAAAACACGTTTGGGCGATATTTAAGACAAGTATAGAGTATTAAAAATAATTATGGAAACAGAGGACAAAATGAGTATATTATGGAAATTACACATGATAGAATAACATATTTTATGTAAAAAGGAAATGTTGCTTAATGCAGTGTTATGTTAACATGGCATAATGTGACTGGGTGTCAGGCTACCAATCTGAAAGTGCAAAACCAGTAAAAGGCCTATATAAGTATAGCCAGTAATACAATTTTAGAGTTTGAAACTTATGATGAACACGATGATTTCTGGACAAGCGCATCTAAATCCAAGTTTTATCTGAAGAAGGCTGCTCTTATCGATATATCACAGCATAAAATCCTGAAGAAGGTTCGGGAAATTGGCATTGTTGATAATAGAAGTGATCAAGGAAGAAAACCAAAACAATTCAAAAGTGGTATAAAGTAATAGACAAGCAGATCTTGTGAATGACCAGTAAGATACACGTTATGTCAAAATGGTCTCAGTGGGCATGTAGATGCTCGGAAACTTTTCTTGAGAAGAGGCAACAAAACAAAAAGACTGAAACAGGCAACAAAAATGAAATATTGGAATGATCAAACCTGAAAAAATTGCTCTTTACAGATGAGTCTAAATTTGATCTGTTTGGCAATAATCAACAGCAACTGCTCTAAGCAGAGAAGAGATCTGTATAACAGTCAGTGTACAACAGCTTTAGTAATGCATAGGAATTAATCAATACAATTGTGGGGCTGTATCTCAGCCAAGGGTGTCGGGAACTTAAACAGAATCAAGGGTCTCCTGACTGCCAACAGATACAGGCAGGTTCTGATTCACCAAGTCATTTCCTCAGAAACGTGTCTCATTGAGCATGGTTTCATCTTTCAAGATGAAAATGATCCCAAGCATACAACAAAAGCAGTGAAAAACCTATTTGGAAAACAAATAGACTGAAGGAAACACTCACAAAAATGTAATTGCCATATGGGGTAAAATGGATGCTGAGAAGTTAAACAGCAACCAAGTAACTTGGATGAATTGTGGGAAGTGTCACAGGACACTTGGAATAACATTCCACAATCTTTCATTAATAAACTGTATGAGAACATGAAATCATGATGTCAAGCTCTGTATAAAGCAAAGAGCTCACATACCTAATATTAATGTTCTGAACAATGTAATCGTTGGTCTTTGAATATTTCATATCATAATGCATTGTGCTTGCAGTGTGCATAAGAAACTTTAAACTCTCTTACGTATTTGTGCTTATTTGTTTAATATTATTTGCATTATATACCCATTTTGTCCTACGATTCCATACTTATTTCCAATACTGTATGTCTAAAAAATATTGGAATCATTTTTTGAGTATTAAGAATATATTATGATCAAATTTTGATTATTTACTATTTTTGACATAGAACCGGTTATAATCATAAATAACATTCGACGTTAAACTGTTACACAGTTAAAAACATTTTATTTAGGCCTATCTATGGCCTTCAAAAAGTTGATTCTACATGAAGGCCATAGATAGGCCTAAATAAAATGTTTTTAACTGTGTACCAGTTTAACGTTGAATATTATTTATGATTTTAACTTTATACACAAGTGCCAAAATACTATAAGAACCGGTTATATTGCAGTTCATTTTTGTATTTTTAAGCTTCGTTCCAATCACATTAAAAACCAATGGAAGTTACGTAAAATGTTTCAAAAACAAATATATGATAATTACTTTTAAATATCAGACCTCTTTTTGTAATGCAAAATTAATAAACGTGTTAAACTAATTAAGCAATTTCATTTTAAACGTTTAATTGGCGCAATTTTCTCCTATTTAAAGGTATTTTCAATTGAATTCCGCTCCCACGAGAAAGGTACAGTGAAAATTTCCTTATGGGAATATCTCTAACAGGACCGCGTTAAAACAGCCTTTCATTCTCATCCTTTCATTGAAATCATTCAATCGATCTATTTTTAAGACAGTATTATAACTAATGAAGTACCAACAGCTCAAAACGTTGCACTATTAGATATAATAAAAAAAACAGATTGTAGGTTATTTTAAGATTAACATTTTAGGCCAGTTCTTTTTAAATATCAGATATAACATTCATTATACGGTATTCAGCGTATGTTCTCAATGTTTTGGATATGTTTTAATATAAATATCACATTAAAGGTGAGCAAAAATGTTGTTTTATACTTAAAAACACACAAGTGAAAACTTATTTAGGAATTTAATAAAATATTATTATCGTGATCATTATTATAGGCAATCATAACAGCCTTTTTGGGAATATTCCCTCCAGAGGAGATGGTGCTGTGCCTTTCTCGTCTGAACTGTTATTCACTTAAATTATATTAAACATTTTATTAGCCTAACTGAGTGATATTATATTCTATATAACTGAGAAAGTATGCTTCTAGATTCACTATAGAACCAAGATCTGCAAAAAAAAAAATACTACTTAAAAATCTTCACCATCATCTTTTTTCCCGATAAAGCTTATGATTAATTCGTAGTAAAAAGATAATATCTACGTTAATTTTAACATGTATCGTTTGTTGTGTGACAATATTCACCACAAAATCACTCATATTTTTTACACGAGATTCTAGAACGTTGGGTTACTTTTCCTAGTTACGTGAGGTTAAAGTTTGGTGTTAAACTTTGGGATGCATGGCTGTTGGATAGTGAAGCCAGTTTACTTTGCTACGTGTACATAAATTTTAAAAATTATCTGATGATCAGATAAAAACTGCCATGCATCAAAATCACTCATATTTTTACACGAGATTCTAGAACGTTGGGTTACTTTTCCTAGTTACGTGAGGTTAAAGTTTGGTGTTAAACTTTGGGATGCATGGCTGTTGGATAGTGAAGCCAGTTTACTTTGCTACGTGTACATAAATTTTAAAAATTATCTGATGATCATACATATTTCTCCCGTCTCGATAGTGACTTCCAACGTCCTGCACTCAGTGAAACATTCTGGAGCTGGTTCTAGCGTCCATAACTTCCGTCCTTTGATCTGAGCTTGCCAAGAGGGGTATACAACGTGATCAATCTTGAAAGGATAAAAAAAAAAAGTATCATTACAAGTCCAAGATTTTTAACTTTAAAAAATAACTCCTAAATTATCATAAATAATTAGAATCTGTGCAGGTTGTGTAATATTTTCTTTTTCTCCAATGTGACTGTAGGAACTCAAATAAAATAATATTGAAGAATTTTCATTTTGAATTCATTAGGGGAAGCAGCGAGTAGCACGTGCACTAAATACTAACTAAGTAGCGTTACCGATATATATATATTTTTTCTTTCCGTATCTATTCCTTTTTTGAATGCATGGTGTATGTCGATTTCAAAATTGGGTTAGGCGTGGCTTAGTAGTTAGCGTACTCGAAGTATGACTTCGGGAAATTTGTAATTATGTGTCTTTTTTTGCCACCAAAACATGTTCCGCACTTTGGAGTCGTAAGTGTGGTATAATAGTAACGATCAAATTCCATTATTCAGTCAGATAAGAGTAGTTCAAGAGTTGGCGGTTGGTGCTGTTGACTAGCTAGTGACGACAAACAAATTTCATTATTATTATTATTGGCGTAATCTTTTCGAGGCGCTCGTTTGTTCTGAATTTTCGCGAA